AACTAGATTGCAAGACAGTGGCCTGCCAAGTTAGGACTCCAACCTGCGTCTCTGCAGCCCAAGGGTGACACTAAGTCCTGCGCCACACAAGCGCTCCTTATGGACAGAAGAACTACCAGGGCACACGGGGGGGGGGGGGGGGGTTCTTTGCAAAACTAACCTGAGCCCTTCCCTCCAAGACTACAAAATTCCTCAGCTTGTACAAACTAAAACAGGTTTGCATATTGGGTCTCATCTACCTTACTTCAGCTGGCCAGAGGGAGAGGCAAAGAGCTATGCAAGGCACTGCAGAGCTGTTACAGCAAGTCCTTTTCAACCTTCCCACTTGTTTCTGAGATTTTACAACCTAAAAAACTATATATTTTTCTTTTAAGTTGGTTCCAGATGCAACAATTTTGCAGGATCTTCAATGTTCAGGTGCTTAAGAATCCTCATCCCAATTCACTCCTTTCGCATGCACCCAAAGCCGCCCAGGAAAACCTCAACAAGGCGGCAAACATCCATCCCACATTCCCTGCCTATTGCTCCCTACGCCACAAAATGCCTAGCCATTTATTCCCTTTAGTATTAGTCCTAAATCCAGGACAACCCCCCTACATGGGGGAAGCCCTCAACTTCTCTCCAAACCAGGGCTTCTTTCTCCCACCTCACAAGTCAGTTTGACAGACTAGTGTTTAGAGATGGTGGGAGGATGGGGACCAGGGCAAGAAGCCAAGAAGCATCAAGAGAATGAAGTAATGGAAAATGAACCAGAAGTGTGTGTGTGTTGGGAGTGGGGGGCGGGGGGGGGGGGAGCAGCCCCAGAGGCTCCTAATGAGAATCCCAGGAAAGAGAAATTATATTTATTTATTTATTCCTTGTATGAGTCGCTTCATAGACAACGTTCTCAGGGCAATATGCATAATAAAAACAAATGCAGTATATCCAATGAAGAAATACACTGAAAGAATTTCAGGCCGTTTCCCCCTTCATAGCTACACTATATACACTTAGGTAAATATATTCCGTGGGAGTTGCGTGGAGGGGATGCGATCCATAGGAGTGATCTGCTTCAAATTCCTGCATACTGGCAGACTTGCACAGAATGCAGCCAACCCGTTCCTGGACCATTCAAATGGATCCTTCTCTCCAGCTGACTGGTTAAGGCAGTGGGCAAATTTGAGAACTGCAGCAATGGCAATCCAGCAACCACCACTGCTGGATTGGTGGACTCCTGCTCTGGCATCTACCTGTTGTATCTGGGGATGTCAGGCTCCATCTTATTCAGCAAAAATATTTACTTCATTTCTACCAGGCACTGCACTCTTTCTTTAATAAGAGGTTATCTAATTCAGCTAATTGCTGGCAGCGCAATACAGGAACGTTTCTTTTCAATGCATTTTGGCAATGTTCAGTACTTGCCCCTTTTTGTGCAGGGGGGAGGCTATTACACAAATAAATTTTGTATTGGAACAGCTTTTAATATTCACTGATGTAAACTGATGCTCTTTTAAATTATTTATCAGCTTCATGGAAATTAAAAAGTGGTCAGCATAAATGGATTCTCTGCATCCTTTGGACAGCTATAAAACTGATATTGCAATGTTGACATGATAAACACTCACTTCCTACAATGCAATGGACAGAAGACTTTACAAACTTTCTGTGTTTGAATAAACAGCACACAGATGCCAACTCCAAATGGATTTGGTGTACTTTTGTTAATATCTGTGTACAATTGTTAGCTGCATGCATTTCATACAAATTCATGCATGCTACACTGCAGACCTCTGTATTAGGGGGGTCCAGAGCACTCAAACCACCCCTACCTAAGTTTCCTCCAGATGTCTTGAACTACCGTTCCCACCAGCCCCAATCAGTATAGATAATGGTCAGGACTAATGGAAGCTGCTGTCCAAAGCATCTGGTGGACACCAGATTGGGAAAAGCAGCACTATGGCTTCCTTTCACAGTAGGCTGCTGATAAAAATTCTGCCCCTCCTCCTTGGACAGGCCCATACAATGGATCATCTTACGCTGACTGATCAATCCCTTTAGGATTCCTATTACAGACTGGCTCCCCATCTGGTCACACTGCAGAGAGACCACCACAAAAATCAAGGCTGCATTTGTTCAACAGATTTATCAGAAAGCCAGCCTGCTTGAGTATAATGGGACTTCCTTCCAATTAAGCATGTATAGGATTGCACTCTGTGACAATTTGGCTGAACCAGAAAGTGAAGGAGAGAACCAGTGGGGAGGAAGGACCTTATGAGCTCTAAGCGCTTATGTCATGCCAAAGCTATGACTAGATCACAGCCTGGCCATCACACATCCCATGAATGAGCGGTGTGCTTGTGAACACTTGCCTATGCACTCCTCCTACCAGTGTAAGTAACTAGACTAACCAGTAATAGAAAGCTTACTGTGACATCTGAACCTGTGCTTCTGGTTTATTGTGCTCTTTACAAGCCAGGAGCAGGCTGGCTTGTTTTGGAGGAATAAACCAGAACCACAGGTTTGAACATCACTGTAAGCATTTTACCTCTTCCTCACTTGGCCACGCATGTTAGTAGGAAGAGCCAAGCAGAGCAAATAAGAGCTGGCTTACGATTCTGTGCAAGCGTGATTTGTGTGAAGCACAGAAGACAGGATGACATCATGGCTATTCAGCGGAGGTCTGAAATGAGTAAGAATTGATTCAGGATGACCAGGAAAGTAAAAAGAAAACTTGTTCTCTTCTAGTTTCATCAATACGCCAGGCAAAGACCTTTTTATTCAAGCGGCATTTTAACTGTTAATATTATTGGATTTTATCTGGCCAGGGCGGCTTATTTTATACTGTATTGTTGTATTTTTAATTTAATATTTATATTTTTAATTTATATTATAGTTAGTTAACTTAGTGATGTAAGCCGCCCCGAGGCTTCGGCGAATGGGGCGGCATAAAAACGTTTTAATAAATAAATAAATAAATAAATAAAACGCCTATCATAGGTCTATGTGAGAAATGAAAAATAAATTATGACTTTTGTTGTTGACGTCTTTGCAATGTACTAACATAAAAGTACAAGGGAACCCAAAAATTTACTAAGTGAGGGGATCTTGAAAAACAAAATTAACTAACCTGGTATAAGGTCCTTACCTCTGTATTTAATTCCCCTGGTTGGTCAGGACTAGGACTGGGTATGCTCCTTTCTTTAGAGGCCACACCCCTCTGACAGCAGCTTTCCCAGAGAAAGAAAGTACATGTCTCCATGGGACATAATGGAAGGCCAACCATACAGAGTACACAATTGTCGCAGAAGTGACAAACGTTAACAAAGTGATACCCAACCCTTGAAACTACAACCTGCAGTTGCATGGTTCCAAAGTCTTGCCTGCTGTTTGGCTAGGAAACAGACTACTAGTGCATTAAAGGAAGTGGAAAACCTTTCCCACACATTCACAGAGCAACCCTGTGGTCACTAGAAAGAGGCTAGATGGCCAAAGGACTGCTTGGATCCCCTGTGAGATAGAAACATCCCTCCAACTGTGTAGCTGCAGATCGCCACTGCCACTGCAGCCGGTAATGAAAGAACCATGCCAGTTGGGTCTCCCAGGTCAGAAGACTGACCTCGGAGAGGGGTTTTTGAGGGCATTTGGAGGGAGAGGGGAGCAAACTAGAATCACCAAGATATGAAATATCCTGGCAGCACCTCATCTTTCTTTACTCCCACTCAGAGCTGCTCGTTTCGCACTGTGAGCGGAGTACAGAGGACAACCCTGCACCATACTTCTCCCTCCCTGCACAGGGTGCTTGTAATCCACTAAGGGGTCTCTTCCTCCAAGGGAGGGTTTTGGGCATCGCAACAGAATTACTCCCCTTAAAGGATACTTAGGAATTCTGGGATTCTGCTCTGTATTAGCATGTAACTGTTCAAACCAGCAAGGGGAGTATCTGTTCTCCCAGTGCTGATGACAGAAGCAGCTCAACCTTTGGACATAAAGTGGCTGTATCATTCAGGTGAAGAAAAAATATCACCTTCCAGGATTGTGCAACACAATCAGCATGGATAGTGAAAGATTTCAAAAAGCAAAGGTAGGGTTCTGCCTGAAAACTCTAGGAGAACAAGAGCCAGCATATCACATGTGCCTCATAGAACTGAGTAGGATTAATAAATTTGATGTACAAGAATGCCATCCCCAGAGCAATTGTGAAAAGCTCTATACCTTCCTTGAGACTTGGTTGCAATGCAAGTCATCCATTTATGGGACAGATGCTGCATTGAGATGTATCATACAAGGTACTGCTGCGCTGAATTAAAGATCATCTCTCAACTTGGAACAGCCAATGATTAAGCTTTCATTTAAACTGTGTATGTGCAAAATTGCATACGATGCATTTTTTCTCCTTGTCAGATAAAGCTGTGCCTAGATTACCAAACATGAGCTGCCACGACCACTAGCTCTGGCTGGGAGTGGTTCCCTCCAATCCCTATCTATGTGTAGTAAAAAAAGTGGAGCAGCTCAGAGCTGATTGTAGCTGTCTGGCACCATGAAATGCACCCTTTGCAGATGCTCAGAGGCAACCTCATCACTGCTCAATCCTTATCCTAGCAAAAAAAAAAAAAAAAAGGAGCCAAGTACTTGCTATTGTGAGTGGCAGTGGAAAAGCACTCTTTACATGATCAGAGCCACTCTCCTTATTATACCTTCCAGAGCTGAACGACCAATGCAAGAGCTCAATACAGGAAAATTCACATCCCCAGAATATCTGCACTATCTTCCTCATCACAGATGTTCAAGAGTATCGGCCCTGTAAGTGCGTCCTGGCTTTCTGATTGCGAAAGCAAGGCACTCTGCATTGCCTCAGAGGTACTCTTTCGTTCGTGTAGCTTTTCCGCACCAAGTGTCGGAGTGGACCCTCACGCCTATTTGGCCACCAGCAAGGCCAGAGAAAAGCGGGAAAAGAGGAGGAAGACGGGAGCGAAAAGCGAGCGCAGAGCCCTCGGGCGCCCTCACAGCCAGCCCGGGTGTACCTGGTGCAGGGCGCTGATGCCGTCGGCGTTGGTCCCGTTGACGGCGCCCGAGTCGGCGCGCAGCATCTCCCGCGCCGCCTCCAGCTCGGCCCCGGCGCAGCAGGCCAGGAACTCGGCGGCCGCGTCGAAACGGACTGCGCGGGAGCGGCCGCCGCCGCCGGAGCCCGGACCGGAGCCCATTCCCTTCACGGACACAGCCTCCGTCTCAGTCGCCGCCGGCAGTCCCGGAGAGGGCGAAGGAGCAGAGCCGGCGGGAGGCGGGGCCGGGCAAAGAGCCGCCGCCGCCGCTGCTTCGGCCGCCGCCCAGGCTCGGAGCTGCTCCCGCCGCCGCGCCCGGGCGCCCTCCCCCTCGGAGAGGGACAGCAGCGGCGCCGCCATTTTCTTCCTCCTCCTGCCGCCGCCAGCCCGGCTGGGCGGCCCTCCCGGCCCAGCTCTATCTCCAGCCGAAAAGCGGCGGCAGCAGCAGGAAAAGGAGGAAAAGCAACACCTCTCGGCTTCCGTATCAGAACGGGAAGGGAAAAAAGGGCGTGGAGGAGGAGGAGCGCGAACGAACTTCGTGCTGCCTGATGGGAGATGTAGTCCTGCAGCAGCAAAAGTGCAAAAGAGGCCAGAATGAGGTTCAGGCTAGATTTATTTTCTCGACTTAATCATCTATGGAAACGGAGGCTGCAGCCAAGAACTTGGAAAAGCAGCCATGACAGAACTAGAAAAGATAATCAAGTGTAACAATGGAAGCCCAGGCCTGATCACTATGTGCGGGCGTGAAAGCCGGGCAAGAAAGTTGACGGGAAGAAAATGGATGGTACTGGAGGAGAGCTTTTCAGTTACCCTGGACCTACAGAAAGATGCAAAAGTGCCCTGAAAGCAAAAATGACAAAAGTGAGGCTGTCGTGCTTTAGGTACTTTATGAGAGAGCAAGACTCCCATTGAGAAGACAATCTTGCTTAGGGAAAGTCAAAGGCAAAAGATCAAATATGCCATAATTTAACTCCATAAGGGAAGCCACTGTCTTGAATTTACAAGAACTCAGCAGGGCTGTCAAGGGCAGGACATTTTGGAGGGCGCTCATACAAAGGGTTGCCAACAACAGTACTGGCCCGGGATATCTATAAATGCACAGCAGTTTTGCTCTAACTCAGCTCCATCTTAGTTTGTTGTTACTCATGCCGACCCATCGCGACCCCATGGACAACATTTCTCCAGGCTCTTCTGTCCTCCACCATCCCTCGGAGTCCACCCAAGCTCACACCTACTGCCCCAGTGACTCCATCTAGCCACCTCATCCTCTGCAGTCCCCTTCTCCTTTTGCCATCAATTGTTCCCAGCATCTTAGTATCCCATGTTGAATTATAACCTCCATAATTCTCAGTCAGCATGGATGGGAATTGTTAGGGAATCCGTGCTCCAAGGCTTGCCATTTCTGTGGTGAAAAAACCATTCTAGTTTACCCTGGAAGGTAGAGTGGAATGTTAGATCATTTATGATTAGACAAGGAAGTGTTGCTCTTTACTATATATATATCTATGAGGGTGGGTGGGAAAGTGTGACTTTTTGTTCCCGCCTCCCATTCGCAAGTGTTCCTGGGATAAGAAGTCCACGGGAAGATAGAGCAGCTCTGCAGCATGCCCATAGAGATACAAAAAATAAAGAATACCTTGTGCTGAATGGTCTCTCTCCTTCTCTCCCTCCCTCGCTTGCTCGCTCTCTCTCTCAGACTGTCTCGCTCACATGCACATTATCTGAACCATTATCTGCACTTGTTATAAACTGAAGTGGCTTCTCATTTTAATTTCCACTGTTTGTTTGATTGATTGATTTCTAGCCCACCCCATTAGCCACACAGCTCTTTATAGTGTTTGACTAAAGATATCACAAAGGATGGAGGGAAATCTTTGTTGATGCACAACTTGAATAAAAGTCAGGACAATTTAGAAGTGGCCATTGCCCAAAGGTGCCATTCTAAACTATGATATGGCATTTCTCAAAATCGTTCTTATGATGCCTTAGAATTTAGAATGGAATATTGGTTTAATTTTACTCCAGAAGTGAGAATAAAGAGTTGGAAGTGTGCATCTGACTTCTTCTCAGGCTGCATTTCTATGGCCTCTCCTTTGCCTAAGACTTTGAAAGGGGCATCTAAAGAAAGAGTGATGAGGTAGAAAAAATAGGTTGAGGTAGAAAAAGTGTAGAATGATGCACAAATTTACTCTGTATCAACCATTCTGATGTATAACTGCCTGGTTTTCAACTCTAATTTCCAAGGCAAAATACTTAATGTATAGTGTATATTTTTAGAGAGGTATCATAGAGTAACACTATCAGTGCTGGCTTTGGCTTTCGGAGGCCTCTTGGGTAAGACACACTCTAAGGACCTCCTTCCTCCAGGAGGTCTCCCTTCTCCTGCCATTGTCACCCAGTGCAATTGTTCCTTGCCTTCTTTCCCACTATGCTGCCACTTGCTTGCTTGACCAGCAGAGAGCCAGTGTGCAAGCCAGCAGGGTTATTTGTGGCTTGTCCCTCTTTCCATTATATTGTCAAAAGGCAAGTGAAGAAGGCAGGTGAAGAGGAGAAGCAACTCCAAGAGTTCTGTCAGTAGGTCCCTGCTGCTGCATGGGCCCTTGGCAGTTGCCCACACATGCCTATCCTTGGCACTGAAACCAGAATACAGCAGGGGCTGCAATCCAGCACATGCTTCCATGCAGGAGATCCCAGATGCAATTCCTGGCATCTCCAAACAAGGAAGGGAATGATCATGTCCGAAATCCTGGCCATTTACCACTGGTCAGTGCTGACTAGTGATGGGAACTTTCCATCTGCCAGCCCAATATGGCCCATGGGAGTTGTGCCATCCAGTCTGCCAGCTTCCCTCCCAGGCCTTGTACCCTAGTGGCCAGATGACATCAGTCAGGCAGAAGCAGAGAGCTGATTTCCAGAACACAAAAACCCTCTTTGCATTCCACAAGTGTCCTCCCAATACCCATTTTATAGAGGGCAAACCCACAATTTTTATATTTTTTAAAAATGAGAACTAAATCTTTACAAGTTTGTAACAACCAAGAGGGCTAGGGAGCACGACAAGCACCAAAGGGTGTGTCTGCAGGTAGGTGAGTGCCCACAAGTACCTCATATTAGAAAGAGGAAAAGGGACCAAAATAGACAGATTGCAAAGGTATGCAAGGAATCCAAATGTGTGTGTGAGAGGGAGGGAGGGAGAGTTGTAGTGGCCTGTAAAGGCCCTGAATTTCTCTAGCATCCAAATCCAACAGATGTAAGAATAATCAAAAATACTGCGAAGTATTTTGGCAAGTTTTTGGCAAGCGCACGGGGGGGGGGGGGGCAATACAGCAGCTGCTACAGTAGCAATGGCCCGAAATCAGATGCAAGTTGTGTAGGCTGCTCTATTGCACTGCAAACAAGAAGCAAAGGAAGACCAAAATCTGCAGCAGCTTTCCACAAATGGTGTGGAGACGAGGGTGTTTGATGGGCGATCCCACTTGGCCGTGAAGCTCATTGAGTGACTTTGGGCCAGACTCTCAGCCCAACGCACCTCACAGGGTTGTTGTTGTGAGGATAAGACTGAGAGGAGGAAGAGGGGAATTACCCACCTTGATTTCCTCGAAAGGCAAAAGGTGCACAAACACAAATACACAAACCCTGCGCATTGAAGTCCCTTTTACGGATGTTCATTAGCAGAGCCTTATGATACCAGGAGTCAGACCTCAAGTACCCCTTTGCTAATGCTCATACCAGTGTGATGAACCAAATGTTAGCTGGACTTCACATCCATTGCATGTTTTCTTTTCAGCTTTATAAGAGATATTCACATTGGCAAACCTACTGGGGGCTACAGTTCAGCACCACGGACAGCTCCTATAAAACTCCAGGGACCAGGCCACAATGGATGCGGAATAGGAGTCTCCAGCCTCTTCTGCATCTCTCTCTCTCTCGCTAATCTTCCATTTCTCCTTCATCAATACTACCACGTCCTCCCCACATCTGATGCAATGCAGATGTGTTGAACCACAATAACCATGACAGCCAGGAAACATGGGAATTGCAGTCCAACACATCCAGTTGCACCAGGTAAGGAAGGTTTGAATAGACCCTGTTCGCACTTTCTGTGCCAATCAACAGAAAAGAATTCACTCACTGGAGAGCTTCCGCAGCAAGGAGAGGTTGGTTTATTGGATGTGGCTTGTGACATAAAACATGCTACAGGCACAAGTGACTGGGAGTGCAGGTGGATGGACACAGGACAGTGAGGTCAACTTTCAACACCAGACAAGGCATGGAGAGCAACAGGTTGCCGATCAACAGTTGCTTCTGTGAGGCTTCCAGATATGAGCATGCGCACAAACTTCTTCTACTTCCAGCGGCCACCAAGTCTGGCTTTTCCAGCACCTTTTTTGCTGCAGGGGAAAGATATATCACTTAACACAGGAGAACTGATGCTCGTTTCTGTCTGAAATACTGAAACATGATTGGGATTTAATACTTTAAGTGCACAATCCTACAGAGGATAGGTGCTGTCTAGCTGGCGAGAGGAAAATGTGGAATCCCTACTGCAACATTGGAAAAGACTTCCTAGGAAGCAGCTAGGAAGTTCCTCTTCAGAAGGTTTCCTCCATGCTTCAGAGGGTAAGGTTCTTTCCACACCATCTCCAGCCCTGAAAACAGACAATCAACTTCGGGGCAGGTGTTGGTCGGCTGTTCAAAGGGGGAGGAGAGGGGCAAGGCACTGCTGGTTTCCATGAAATCTGCGGGGGGGGGGGGGGGGGCTCAGCCACTACTCCTCATGAGTAGGGGAAAACATTAGGTGGCTGAAATTCAGCAGAAAAGATTTTTGAGGGTGAGGAGAGTGTGGATCAAGCTTTTGCCTTGCATATCTGCAGCCCATAACCTTCTGAGTTTGGAGAGTTATAGGCAGCCAGATAGGATGGTGCCCTGAGCATGTAATCCTGTTCGCTCTTATCTGGGAGTAAGCTCCATTGAGCTCAATGGGACTTATGCATAGGAATGTATCATAAATGAACTGGAATGTGCAACCAGATTAGAGGAAAGGCTCTGTTTTCCCCATATTTCTGAATATGTCATATTCCTTTCTGAAAGACTGAAACATGATTAGGCATTTATATAAAAACAAACAAACAAATATATTTAAATTATTACATCCCACTGTATGAATTCAGCTGATCTCTATTCATGGAACATACCTGTATCTGAAGTATAATTTGGGAGGAAAATCCAGACCCATCCCTCTCTCTGAATTTAGAAGACAGAAATCTGACACAGAGATTTCCAGATAGGAAATATTAAACTTTACATTCAGAGTCAATTTTCAGTACCATGGCTAGATCTCAGCTTCTGATGGATTGGGTTTGCTAAATTTAGGTGGCAAGTCCAGCATTTTATTCCTCCTGTTCCCACCCATATGATTTTGAACTTCAAGTATCCCTGCTCAAAACCTGAAATATTTTTATTAGAAATATTAATTTCTGTGTCATTCCACTTAAGAGATCCAGTCTATAGAGATCCAGAGTCCATCTGTGAAAATACCATGGTGTATTAAATTGCATAACGTGGGGAGGAGGTGCAGTACGTGGTGTGAAGAAAGAGAAGGAAGTGGGAGAAGAGACAAAGGCATTTTGAGCCTCGAGGGGCACTCACAATTTCTGGGCATGGCTGATGCGGTTGTAGAGAACGTTGATCTGGAGAGGAAGAAATGTGTGAGAGAAAAGAGAAGTTAATATCATTTTGGCACAAGGGGAAGCTCCAAAGTCAACAATACCTTTGCCTCTTTTTTAATAAGCTGAATTAAATATTTATCATGCTTCTTCACTGATAAGTAAAGCTAATCCAGTCCCTCATCACAGAAAGTAGATAATTATTAGCAGCACCCATCATGCTCTGAAAGCTTTAAAAAAAAAAAAAACCTGCACGTTTTTAACTGATGCCTAAATGCCTAAACAGTGTGGTTGCTAGTTGAATCTCTACAGCACAGGGGTTCCATAAGCAGTGAGCCACTACCAAGGGGGCTCTGCTGTGTGTGTTAGACCCATACCCATCACCAGAACAGCCTCCTGTGCTGATCTTAAAACTTGGGTTAGGTGGCATTGGGGGAGGCACTCCTTCAAGTGCCTTTCATTTATTTAAAACATTTATGCACCATCTAATATTTCAATGAAATCTCAAGACAGTTTACAGAGACAACAAGACAATAACAACAACATAACAGCACTTCAATAAAAAAGCCACATACAATATATTAAATATATAATAAAACCATTCCAATGTTAAAATACTGGGAAAATAAAAAGGGTTTAGCCTGGTGCCAAAACAAACAAAGTGTTGGCACTAGGCATACTTCTCTGGAGAGCGGATTCCACAGTTGGGGCACTACCACTAAGAAGGCCCTTCTCCTGGCAGCAACCTTGGAAACCATCTCCTGGAAAAGGACCCCTGTAGATGATCCTAAGGTCCAGGCAGGTGGATATGGAAGGAGACAGTCCTTCAGACATCCAGGCCCTAAGCTGGTTAGGGCTTTGCGTGTCAGTGTTAACACCATAAATCGGGCCTGGACTTCAATCAGGAACCAGCCCTAGGCAGCAGCCTAACTGCTCTGTTCTGTACCAGATGCAGTATCTGGACCATCTTAAGCTATTTAGGCCTTGCACGGTAGCATCACGGCCTTGAATTGGTCCCAGAACTTCAACAGCAGCCAGTGTCCTATGCTTCCATTTTCCAACCCCGGACAACACCCAGGCTGTGGCATTTGGCACCAGCTGCCATTTCCAACCCACCTTCAAGCGAAGCCCTACACAAAGTGTATTGCAGTAGTCAAGTCTGAAGGTTCTCAGAGCATAGACTACTGTGGCCAGGTGGTCCCACTCCAATAACCAAAAGTAACCAACAGACAGACAGACAGACAGAGCGAGAAGATACAGTGTTCACCGGAAAGGAGATAAGAGGGCAGCTGCTGCTACCTGCACTGGGTTATTCAGTTCCCCTTGGACAAGAAGGTCCTGTTGCATTTCTGCATTCCATGATGTCCCTCAGATGTGCCCAGTTTTAAATCAGACGGCCCCACCTGGTAAGGCACAGGCCTTTCTTTCTCCCTCTTACCTCATACTTCTGGCGTCTGAGCTTCTCCATCAGGTCAAACTTCTCTGACTCTAGTTGATGAATCCAATCGTGCAGTTCTTTGGCCTTGTCTCTGGACAGGGAGAAAGGGAAAGAGAGAGTCTGTTGTCCCCACTGATAAAAGCCCCTGCTCTCCTCCGGCAAACCAGCCTTCCCTGGCAAAGGCACCGCAGTGCAGCTCTGCCCTGTGACCCACCTCAGCTGCTGTTCACTTAAGTTTTCTATGTTCAGTGGTTTCCTCCGCTCTGAGAGAATCCGGATCTTCATCTCACGGCCCGTCTGCCTCTTGCCACGTTTTTGCTCCGCCTGAGGAAGAGTAGGCAAAAGAGGGTCACTGGGACCAGGAGTGGCCACCCTTACTGGGCTGGGCTCCCAGGGACAGTCCTCTTTTTTCAGGTTAGGAGTTGAATAAACAAGGGAAGGAAGTCTGCCTGTTGCCACAGGCTGTGGTGCTGTATGTAACTGCCAGAACCAGGGGAAGGGTTCCACCAAATGCAAGGTGCCAGGGAGGAAACAGCTGGGAAGCAGGGTTGCCTTCCTGCAGTCTTTACATGTCCTTAGGCCAGGGGGCCATCTCCTGGCTTCCCCAGGAACATGTGCATGGAGAAAACCGTGCCTCTGAAGCCGGTACATTTGGAGAACATGCATGTGCCAACCTGTTTCAAAGCAAGTTGCGCCTCTCGTTGTGCTTAGGCACTTCATGGGTCTGCCTCATAACGGTGGGAGAGGCTGTACTGAATTTCCATCAGGCAGCTGGAGAACAAGACTAGGACTACGATGTCCATCTTACAACCAGGCAAACAGTAAATCACTTGACCAGGTCCCATTCTCCCACCATGACTTATCTCCTGCATGGCTATATTTTGGAATAACTGGCTCCTACATACAATATTATCTCAGCTTCCATGTTTGGAAGAAGGAAGGGTTATGACTGCCCCAAAACTAAAGTTATCCTGATCATCTCCAAGCAGTTTACCTTTACAAGATATCCACCAAAATGAGCTCCCATATTGGATAGCACTTTCTTCTTCTTGGCATCATCTTCGGCTCTCTTCTTGGCTTCCTCCTCCTCCTTCCTCATCTTCTCTTCCTGCACAGGACAACAATGGGGAGTCCATTATCCAAAGGCAGCGAGGAACTATCCTCTGTCGCACCCCCTGGAGAATGGGCCCTGTGCCAGGGACACAACTCTGGCTTAATGACTCTCAAGGATTCTTTGCAAAAGTTTCTGTGAAATACCCTGATCCCCCCTGCTCTGGCTAATGAGTGGAGTTTACTTAGCCACCCAAGCAATTTTGCACATCTCTAAAAGGTGATTTTGCACCGCCTTGTCTACCACATTTCACCTCGACAGCTGTTTCTGGTGATCAAGATCAGTGCTGGAGGGAAAGAAGCTGAGGAACAAGCTGGAATTTATACAACTCCAGGGCTTCGTCTCCTCCCCTCTCTGCCCCAAGCAGTCCGCTTCTCTCTTCAGAACCCAGTTGCAACGGAGGGGCAGGCAGTGAATGTGGTTCTTCCCACACCAGCTGTGAGGGAGCCAAGTGGGAGCCCAACCTTTGGAGGTCCTACTCTGAGATTGTAAGATGTTGAAGCTGGGACTCCAAAGAATCCTGTGGCCACCCAGAGGATGTTGGGATGCTGTAAACTGGAAGAAACATGGGTCAAAGCATGCAATAGTTGAACAGGCTGAAAAGGTATAGATTTGTCTCTCCCTTTTCTGACTGTATTGTGCAAATCTATGCAATTTTATAGACTTTACTTTGTGTTTACTGGCCAACAAGGAGCTTTACAGGACACCAAGGATTCACACCTGACAAACCAAATTTTGTGAGCCAGAATCTTTGAGACCCATGTGTCTCTCCCTTTCCCTTCCCAGCAGATCATGAGAGACTTCTAACTACAATCTTTATTAAAGGTTGTTAGCATCAGACGCCCATCAAGTTAGACCCTCTAATTGTGAAATTAGTTCTTGCTCTTGCCAGGAGTTGATTCCAGACCAAATTCCCCTCCTTTCCCACACCAAACAGAGTTGGCTCCACCTTCAGGGAGGTTTGTCCTGCTTATGGCTGAGTTGGCAGGAGTGCCGGACAATACTTAATTTGATGTCAGCTCTCTTGATCTGGCATCAAATGATGGGGCTGATTAAGTTATATTCCTCCTAATCTAACCCTCTCTGTTCAACAGTATCTCTTCCTTGAATCAGAGGCACTCTGGTTCTCATCAGCCACTTGGCTTATCTCAAAATGTGTTGGCTTTGGTAATTCTGCTAAATATTCCAGCCCCCTTCTAATTCCAATGCCAATTTAGAGTCTGAAACCTCCTCCTTGGAATATTGTATTTTGGGAGAAATGGATCCAGCCCCCACACAGACTTTGACTTGCTTTGGTAAAATTCACAATAACAACTAATTTTAAAAAAGAACATTTCAGGTGTCTTTTCTACTTGTCATGTTTTCCAGCTGTTGCAATGCAAGATTAGATTTGAACTAACTGGCTGGGTAACTCTGAGAACATTCTGCTGAAATGGCTGGGTGGGGCAAGAGAAGACTAACCCAGGAAGCCCTCTGAAATCCACAGCTCAGGGCAGAAAACTAGCATCCCCCAGATGTCTTGAATGACAGCTCCTATAGTCCGTCCCCATTGCCCATGTTGACTGGGTCTCGTGGAAGGTGTAGTCCAAAACGACTGGAAGGCACAAGGTGGCCTAGCCCTGCTGCAACTGGCGTGCCCGTTTTGCAAGTCCTTCCCCATCAACTGAAAACCTGGAAATGCACTGGCTATTTTTAAACAGAAGCCTCCTTCTCCCCTTGGTGTTCTCACATTCCTTGGGAACAGGCGTTTGCGCCCCAATCCAGAGGATGCTGATACTCACGGCAAGTTTGGCCTGTCGCTCCCGCTCCTTCTCTGTGCGGAACCGCTGTTGCTCTGCACGTTCGGCACGCCGGCGTTCCTGCCACAGGGCACAAGAAATGAGTCAGATCTTTGCTGAGGTCAGCAAGATCAACACAAGGCAGGTTTAAATCCGCACACCTGGTTATGCTTAGTATAGATCCAATGAAAGCAATGGGGCTTGTGTTAGTCAGGACTAAGTCAGTTCTGTGGATTCCAGTGGCCCTACTCTAAGCGTGATGAGGTCTGGATCCAGTCCATGAGAACAACTAAGCTACTCCCCTCTCCCTCGCTCCCAAGTGCAGCTGTGGAACTCCCTTGCCACTGGAATGGAGGATTCCTCTATGGCAGCTCTTCCCATGTTGAGGGAAGATCTTCCGTTTTGGCACAACCTGCCAAGTGGTGCCATCTTTCTGAACATCCAACAAAATAGTCCATGCAGGCTCCAGAGCTGTGGTGGCGAACCAATGGCACGTGTGCCAGAGCAGGCATGCAGAGCTGTCTCTGTTGGCACATGAGCCAAGTCTCCCCAGCATCGCCCCAGCAGCCGAGCATCGGACAACAGCACACACAGGGGCCATGCGCATGCTTGGAAAGGAGTCCTGGTGCCAGGCGATGACGTCACAAGCCGTGACTCATTAGCCACGACTCATCCAAGCTCTCGCATGGCTGGTCAGTGCGCTGCCAAGGATATATATCTATTTGCTTGGACTGCCTGTTTTCAGGTTTTATTGCAGTTTGCGCACTCTAAAAGGTTCACCATCACTGGGTTAGGGTTATCAAATGGAGGTGTCATGGTGTGATTTTGATGGTTGGAATGTGTTTAGCATGGGCAGAAATGTTGAGCTGTGCAGAAAAAGCTACTCAAAGAAGGCTCTTTCAAAATCGCCCTCTTTTCAATGGTATTTTACCCCTATATTAGGGTTAAGGGTGTGCACCAGGGCAGGGTTAGGGTTAGAAAAACAAGGTGTCCTGGTGTGATTTTGATGGTTGGAATGTGTTTAGAATGGGCAGAAATGATGAGCTGGGCAGAAAAATCTATTCAGGGAAGGCTTTTTCAAAATCGCCCTCTTTCAATGAAACTTTGCCTCTATATTAGGGTTAGGGGTGTGCACCAGGGCAGGGTTAGGGTTAGAAAAACAAGGTGTCCTGGTGTGATTTTGATGGTTGGAATGTGTTTAGAATGGGCAGAAATGATGAGCTGGGCAGAAAAATCTATTCAGGGAAGGCTTTTTCAAAATCGCCCTCTTTCAATGAAACTTTGCCTCTATATTAGGGTTAGGGGTGTGAACCAGGGTAGGGTTAGGGTTAGAAAAACAAGGTGTCCTGGCATGATTTTGATGTCTGGAATGTGTTTAGAATGGGCAGAAATATTGAGCTGTGCAGAAAAAGCTACTCAAGGAAGGCTTTTTCAAAATCGCCCCTTTCAATGGTATTTTACCCCATATTAGGGTTGGGGGAGTGCACCAGGGTTGGGTTAGGTCATTGGTCATGAACCTATGGCACCTGTGTCACAGTGGGCATGCAGAGTCCTCTGTGTCGGCATGAGAGCCAAATCGCCCCAGCAGCGCCCCAGTAGCCAAGCATCAGATAACCGCACACATATGGGCCATGTGCCTGCTCAGATTGGAGTAGCAGCGCCAGGCGATGACGTCAAAAGCTGCGACTCATTAGCTGCGACTTCTCCGAGCTTTCGCATGGCCAATCAGTGCGTTGCCAAAGATATATATATTTGCTTGGACTGGCTGTGAGTTGTTTTTTCTAAACTAAAACCTCAGTTTTCAGATTTTATTGTACTGTTGCCACTTTGCAATAAATAAGTGGGTTTTGGGTTGCAGTTTGCGCACTCCATCTCTAAAAGGTTTGCCATCACTGCTCTAGAGTTTGGAGAGCTGTTGGATGAGACATATCTTTGATGCTTCCCTCAATACAATGCAAAAATATGTGCAAATATGATGTTTGGATTCACTGCTGCTGACTAACCACAAGGTGGGAGTAAAGAGCAACTTATCTATTCCACAGGTTCTGTTTTGCTGAGTTTGTAATATTTTTCACTTTTTAATTTTGAACAAGCTTGTAGGCTGTTTGTAGACTGAAAGGTCAACAAAGTCTCTGTTGCAGCATATTCCCCATGGGGGGAGGCCTCTGAAGGTCAGTTCTGCTGGGTTTTCTTTCATTTGGATGGAATGGCCAAGGGTCTCATCCTCTGCTCCCTTGCCTCAGATCTGTGCACAGTTCTGGCCTCTCTACCTTCAAAGGGAGATCGTAGAGTTGGCTTGTTGTAGAAATGAGCCACCAGAATTATCAGGGGGCTGCAGAAATTTCTCTACAGGGAAGTTACAGTTCTAGAACTTTGAAAAAGGGGAAGTCAGTGGAAATGTGAAAGAAGTACATGGAATAATGCACAGTGTGGAGAGAGTGGACGGAGAGGCATGTTTCTTTTTGTTTCATAATACTAGAATACCAGTGAAGCTGATTGGTGGGAGATAAAGGACGGTGACAAGGAAGTCTTTTTTCACACAGCACATACTTAAACTATGGCATTTGTTACTGCAAGATGAAGTGATGGTCTTCAACTTGGATGGATCTAAAGGGGGATTAGCTAAATTCTCAAACAAGAAGACAACTGGTGACCACTAGCTGGGACAGCTATGGCATATTTCCAGTATCGGGGCAAGTCTCTCTCAGGTTGCTGGGAAAGATGAACAGCACAGTTCCTTTGTGCTCACGTCCCACTTGTGGGTTTCCCACTGGGGTGTCTGGTCAGCCCAGGCGGGAACCGCATGCTGGACTAGGTAGACCTTTGGCCTGATCTAGTGGAGCTCTTCTTACATTCTTAAATCCTGAATGAGGGTGAACGTGCATTTGGAGATAATGCTAAATCAGGAATGCTGGCTAATCCATGCTTTCTCCTGTTTGGGTAACACAACAAATATAAACTAGAAGGGAAAGTTGCTGAGTCCATGCCAGTGGAATGGAGGAGGAGGAGCAGGCACATCAAAAGATGGCAAACAATGGCCAGGCCAGGCTCCTTCTGCTTGTAGCCACTCACAATCCTTTCCTGGCCATAACTCACAATTCTTGTCATAAGAGCAACAAGTTCTTCCTCTTCTTTTTTTCTCTGCTCAAAGTGTACATCAATGAGGGTCTGCAGCTCCAGAAGATCTTTCTCCATACGCTTCCGGTGGATGTCCTGTCCATTCATCAGAGAGAGAAAGACTGTAGGAACTTTTCTACATCAGGTTGTTAATCGCCCTCCCACCACCCCTACAGTTTTATCACAGAATTTAGATCTGAGCCCTACACAAACAGCTTTTCCTTTCATGCAGTTTTCCTACATAACCTCTAGGTGGCTCTGTACTGTAGCAGACCAGTGCAAATACACATACAGGAAAATATTCTTAATTTCACTTTTGGAAATAATAACACCTTTGTCCTTATCTTTGAAAAAAAGCCCAGGAAAGTAAGAAAGTATTCTTTAAAAAACAGAACCTGGAAAATCATGACATTGTGTAAAGAACTTGTACACAACCGTGAGTTAGGCGTTACAACCACAGGCACATAATCAATGCCTCCTAGAAAAGCCCTAGGTTGAAGGGACTGCAGTCACCCAGCAACAAGGTTGCTTCCAAATGAGACTTTTAGGGCACAGCCCTATGAGACAGATGCTCACAGGACAGAGAGCTCCACTCTCCGAGCCCTCCATTCATCCTGGGCCCTGCTGGCAAGAGCCCCTTGGCAGTGGGCTGCTCAGATGGCTTCCTTGGCAGTGGGCTGCTCAGATGGAGGCCCTGGGTGTGTCCGCAAAGAGGAATACAAAAAGATTAGACAGGCTGGAGGCTTCTAGGGGAGGATTTATCTTGTGCAATTGCATTGCTTCATTCATGGGATTTTCCACCCATGAATGAGCCATTTTCCTGCTGCTTTCTCTGTCTTTTCTTCTTACTGGGGGAAAAGAATGAAGAAGGAAAAGACAGAAAAACTTCATGTGTCTTTGGACTGGTGATGCTAAGAGTAGCCAGTTGCACATTGCCAAAAAGGAAGGTAAAAGAAGACACACATCTGCTTGAAATGCTAATTTAGAGAAATACATGCAAAATTACAAATAATGGATGCAATTTAACTACAGTTTCTCGCCCTGGTGCGGAAAATAGACCAGGGGATGCGTAAATTTGTTCCGTTGCTTACTCTGGATGGGCCAATTCAAGGCCCTTGAACTCTCCCTTCTTGGGGATGCTGATCTTTAAAAATGGACTTGGACCATACAGACATCACATAGAAGTTGTCTGCAAGAAAGGCATGTTGCCAGACAGACCACCAAATAAAAGACTGTCTTCTGTAAAGGAAGGCACCTGGCCCCAGTCTGCACCCCTTAACCCATCAAGAGTGCCCATTCTCTAGTAAGACACATGCCCCCTTGGCACCCTTTATTCTATCAAGATACTCACATCGAAATCCACTCTCTCCCCCTCGGGGATCTTTGGAGGAGCTAACTGTGGAACTACTGGCCTATGAGTGCATGGAGACAGACAAAGAAAGAAGCAAACACAATTAATACCAGAAAATGCTGTTAGCAATGCCCCCTTCCCCAGCCCCACCTGACAAAATGTTAATTGAAATCCATTTCCCCCATTGAGTTAAGGCTTATAAAGTTTGGAGCGCAAAACCACGGCCCAGTGTGTGGAGGGAAGAATCCATCCTCTAGCTTTCTTCGTCAGCCCGTCCCATTCAGGATGCCTGAGCGAGTGTTTGGAATGCTGCTTGAGGTCCCCCCACTTTTCCTTCCAGGGCTTCTGTGTCTTTAAGAGCTGCACGCCAGAGAGTTGTATGCAAGGGTTACTGCTTTACCCCTGCCATGGAGTTAATGGTGGCTGAGAAAGACACAGGAGCCCTGAAAGGATGAGAAAGGACGGGAACTCGGCGGTGTACACACTTCTCCCTGCAGTGAGAATTGCAGCAATCTGCGTTCCTTCACTTAAAGAACGTCTTTGAACTGAACTCTTGAATCTGCACCTACCTTGGCCTTGGGCGTTCTTCCTCTGTGAGAAACAGAAAACAGAGAAGGCCATTAATGGATGTGAAGAAGGAAGGAAGATTTGGAAAACAGTTGGCTCCAAATACTTAGAAGGGGCAAATCTTTATATCTTTTTGCTTTGTGGCCAATGGGATATGCCATGTTAACAATGGTGGTGGTATAAGCAGAATTGAATTATGAATGTTTATAAGAGGAGTCTAAACAAGGGAAGAAGATCAAGCTGGGACATCAATAACATCTGAAACTCTGTATTGAATTGCATTTTGCTTATCTAAGTATATTTTTATTTATAAATCCATTGACCAGTTAATCAAATATGTACAGTATATACCTCCCTTCATTCTGTTCAGATTTGGGCACAATTTACAAGTTGCAATAACCAACGGTGGTTAGCAAAAGGGAGTGTGGCGTTTTGCAGAGCCCGAAGGCTGCATCTGGCCCTCGGGCTGGAGGTTCTGCACCTCTAGTGTAGCAAGTATATAGGATTGCACCTCTCCTGCCATGTTGCTCCACAACTGTGGTATTAAGGGCAGAGCCTGAACTGCACTGGTGAATGTCCCAGAGTTAGACTGGAGGGGCCTGGGTTTGGACTGCACCCTGATTCCCAGACAGACACCAAACATCTGACACAACTTTGGTCACAGCCATGTCTATAGGTACTGGAAAATATCTATCACCCCCACCTGGGCCTAGATATGTTGCTTCCCTCATAGACATGATTGGGGTACGCATGTTCTCCACACAGATAGAGAGGATACATGACTACACACTACTTGCATGTATCCAGAACATGTGTAGCACACGGAGAGCATCAGAATCCCATAGATATATCTGCATAAAATATATCAACGAAGCCCGTTCTGTCAAGAACCTGTGCATATCCTCCTCTTTGTGGGGTGGGGAATGGGGAGGAAACCTTGGAAGTCAGAAACCCATTGCAGGAGCTGCTGGACAGAGGTGTGTGTGTCTGTGTATAGTAATCTAGGCTAGGAGCATGGCTGACTTCAGCTGGACATATGAGCAACCAGCCATGGCATTTCAAATCCTCTTGGTGGTGCCACGCACCCATTTAGTAATCCATTCCCGGAAGTCCATGCCCATTCTCCCTGCAGTGGGTGCCCTCTAAAAGGATGCAGTCTGGGAGAAATGGTCAGCAAAGCTCTGCCCTCTTAATCTAAGAATTGTGGATGATTTGCTTACTCAGTGGTCTAGAAAACACACCCTGCAATTGCCAGAGGCTCTCGTTTACTCTTGGGGCACATTTGATCATGCTTAGGACACACATGGGAATCAGTTCAATTGAACTCAGTGGATTTCCTGTCTAGGAAGGCATGTACTGTTCAAGTTATGAGGTTTGCTGCTGCCTGTTTCTTATTTCCAGAAGTGCTCCTTAATCAGTATGTTTCTTTTCAGGTCAGTAAGGAACACAGTGTATTCCTCCATCTGCCCTTGGCCATTGACTGCAGGGTGCCACAGAGGTTTGGTTCAGACAACAATGCAAGCCAGAGTCTGAGCTGATTATGGACAGTCATTAAATCATGGGTTATGAAGTCGCATTAATCTATCTGTGCTAATAATACATGGTTTACTAAGAGTGAATAATCCACTTGGTCACAAACCTACATTAAACCATGGGTTTTCTTCATGAGTTGCTTGTGATTAACAAGCTATGTTTCATGACTGCAACTGCATTCAACAACAAGTCATGATTCAGCAACAACCCACATTCAGCTTGTACTCTGGCTTGTTGGGTTGTGTGAACCCAGCCAATGACAGTAAGAAGGCTTTGATACACCTATAATATGGTGTTTCCTCTCCTAACCTGGCACCCTCCAGATGTTTTGTATGACAACTCTCAGAATTCCAGAATGCTGACTGAGGATGATGAGCACTGGAGTCCAATGATCAACATGGCACCAGCTGAGGATGGCTGCCTTAAAAATAGCACTACAAACACCTTTGGGCTCCAAGCACATAGCCCCACTTTGTTTCTTGGGCATCTAGGAAGTACAGAGGATGCACCTTAGATTAGCTCAAGCCACCAGTCCATCTAGTTCCACCTTGTCTATACCAGCCTTCCCCAGCTGGGAATACAGCAGATTTATGGGGTTGACACTATCATCATCCACACCCAGCAGAGCCAATGCTAAGAACTGCTCCCTAATACTTTCTGTAGAATCACAGAACAGTAGAGTTGGAAGGGCCCAGTAAGGCCAGCCCCCTGGTAAGTGCAGGACTCCAGGTGGAAGCACTTGTATTGAGGAAGCCTGGTTTGTGCTGCCTGCGGGTGGCCACCCACAGTTCCAGGCAGTGTTGCCTGGGAGAGGCCAGGATTGATTCTGGACCTTTTGCAGGTAGAGCATGTTTCTAGCACTGATGCAAAATGGTTTCCTGAAAGAAAGTTCAGCTGCTCTAGAACTTTTCTCCCTGATGTGCTTAGAAACACACACGACACAGCCAGTGGCTAGAATGTCGGACTGGGCACCCAGGAGATCTGGGTTTTAGTCCCTGATTGACCATGAAGCTCTCTGGGTGACTTTGGGCTGGCCACTCTCTCTCAGCCTAACCTACCTCAAAGGGTTGTTGTTGTGAGAATAAAACGGAGTGGAGAAGGGCTCTGGGGCTCCTCAAAAGAGGAAACAAGAAGGCTATAATTGCAATGTAATAAAGAAAATGCAGTGATTAACCCTGCGACCTAGTGCTGCCCATCATCTGTGGCATGGTACAATTTCTGGAGTGTTTTCATCCTGCCTGGATGGTTTCTGCTTTCCCTCTCCCATGCCCTGGGGAAGAATGGAGTGAAGGAGAAATATACCTGGCTCAGCAGTCAGCTCAGGTTCTTCAGCCACTGCAAACAACACACATCACAGGATCAGGGAGGATGAGGAAGAGGGGGAGGGGGAGACGACAGAGCAGGAAGAGAGATGGAGGTTGGAAGGTAGAGATCAAATCCAGGAGAGAAGGGAAAAGGCCGTCTACAGCAGCCTGCCCAACACTGGGGCCCTCCAGACAGCTTGGATGGTGGGAGTTGTAGTCCAACCCTTCTGGAAGTTCCCTGGGTTGGAATGGACTGTTCTACAGGATGAGGATCAAGACGTCTGGGATCAAGACGTCCGGGTGATTAAAAGCACTGCTTGTTAGCCGAAGGAGGGAAACCCACCCGCTAATTAGCCAAAGGAAGGAAACCCACCCACTCATTAGCCAAAGGAAGGAACCCTACCAGCCCCTGCACTGAAAGCAGCCAGTGTCTGCCCCCGGAACATGGAAAGATCCCTGAACATGGAGCTGGATTTTATCCTTGGAAAAGTGGAGAAAGAATCAAGGTAGTCTTTGCAGCAGCGAGGAAATTCCCGCTTGACTTCAACACAGGGGGTTTGAATGATTCTTTCTCTGACCCAGATTCTGAGTCACAGGAATGAGCTTTCCAACTTTCTGACTCCAAGGAACCCTTTTCATGGCTTCTGATGGACTCTGGATTGCCTGCCCCAAAAACCTATACACTGCAAAGGCTTCTGGGGCATTTTCATGGGGTTTATGGTCCTCCGTATGCAGCTGCTGTTGGGTCTCACACTTGCCCTGGGGGAAATGAGGATGCTGCCAGAAGGACAGCACCTCTTGCTACAGTCGAAAGGCACCATTGGGCAGCTCCTCTGTCTTTTCCTCCTTAATGGACTTTTTCTGGTAAGAAAAAAAGTAGACAGCACAGTGGGAAAGTACAGGAGGGTTATAAATGGCCAAATTGAAAATATTGAGGTAGAAGTATGGAGCTTCCAAGGGGTAAGACATGTTTCTTGAAAATGCCCTCAAAAGCAACTTGTTCAGTAATTGTTTCTCCCTTTGTTGCTGCTTCTAGAGCAATATTCTGGGATAGGGCAGCTGGGCAGAAGAGAGCGTCATGATAGTTCCCAACCAGCCAGGGATCACATCAGGCCAAGCACTATAGTATAGCCAATCAGTGTAGCTAATATATTGTAGCCAATCAGATTTGGGCTTGTGGTGATGTCATTAACAGACATTTCCCTTTACTCTGAATGGCAGGGGTAGGGAAAGAGATACGACATTAACTCATTTCCCCTTTTGCCTATCCATTCAGAATGAAGGTACTCTCCATGATATGACCATGTAGACAAATCTAACCAGTTGTATTTCCCATGATGGCATCATTCTTTTTCTGCTTCTCCCCCAGAGACATGTCATGCCCCTTGGCGCCTTCCCCCCACTGTAAGATAAAATTGCCAAAAAGGAAGCCACTTTCCAGGGGGCTCAAAGAAAGTCCCAGACATCAGTCTCATTTGGCTCAAATCACAGTCAAAGAGACATGGCAAATCTGCTTTATAGTGGTGGTGGCATAGTGGTGCCAGAAAACAAACAAGCAAGGAAGAAATTTTGGTGTATAATTGGAAGGCATATTTATCCACCTCCATCAAACCTTGGAGCTAGATTAAGAAAAAGAAGAAAGGAAAAAAATAAAAACAGGAAGGAAGTGATGGATATGAGTGATCAGTTTCAAGCACCAATGAGATGAAATACAGAAGGCAAAGTCTTTGGAAGCAATATTGGAGCCAGTGTTCACCTCATGAAGCCTTTCCCAAACTGATGTCCTCTGGATGCTTTGCACCACAACTCCCATCATCCATCACCAGCATGACCCATGGACATACTGTCTGGTGAGGATAAGAATGGCATTTCAACACACCTGGAGGGACACTGGGTTTGGGGAGGCTGCAAAACGACATGCATTACTAGAACATGAACCATCCAACAACATGTCCTGTCAGCTTCCTAGAAGGTGAACATGAATAAACTTATGAAGATCAGAGGGCAGGTCCTCATGATTCTTCCCAAGCTGAAAATTAGAAGGGAGAACTACTGTGAAAGAGAGGAGGCAACCCTCAGAGTTATGGGGAGAGAAGCAGGGCACATCCTGATCTGCTCAGAAGAACCCCCTCTCCTCCCAGATCCCTGGTTCTCACTGCCCCAGATGTTACTTGTTAGGCCCCATTTCCTCTAGGAAGGAGAACCAAGGAGCTGGGCTCAAGAGTCTTCTTGGTTCACCATGCATAATTCACCTCTAAATTCTGTTGGCTGCAGGCTGCAGTTGTTTCCTAAAAAAAAGTAAAAGGGGGGAAGGGGTACTTGGTGGAGGGTGGGAAGAAATGGGGGCCATTGCCTCACCTTCTTCTTCAGCCGGCTCCTCTTCTTCAAGAAAAAGAGAGAAAGGGAGAGAGATAGGAAGACACACAAAGGAAGAACAGAGAGGTCAACATATTAATTTATTGGTTGTGAATTACTGCAAGTTATGGGTAACTGGGGGAGAATGTTTCTAGCAGTGGCATCCCCCCACTGAAGACAGCTTTTTTATTCCGCTCCCAGAGGAAACTGCTCTTGAAAACAACCCAATAAAAATAAAAACATAGGTGAGTTCAGCAGAAGGAAAACAAAAACAAGGAAAAGAGGGTTTGCCTCTTCTTGCTCTGGAGAAATGAAACCTTGCAAATCTTAATGGGATAGAAAATATTAACAATGCCACGGACAGCACCAAACTGGTGAAGGAGAATGCCAAGGATTTTCCTTTAAGGGAGTTGATTTTGTTATACGTCTCTTAATGGAGATGGCAACAGAGAAGTACCTCAAAATTAAAGGGGAACTGGGTTATAATGTGGGCATCCATACACATCTGATTATGATGATGCTTGTGCACCCTGATCTGGATCCTGAAGAAATCCAGCAGGAAAAACAAGCTCACCCTTTTAGAACAGAGCCCGGTTGAAGGACGTTTGCTCTACTTCAACCTTACTCAAGTGGAAGCTCTCCAGATGTGTTGGACAGCAGTTCCTACAGTCACCATGCTGACTGTGGACGATGAGGGTTGCAGTCCAACAAATTTGGAGGATGCCACTTTGGGGAAGGTGGTACAGTGCAAGCAAGTACAACAAACTAGAAAAAAGCTCCTGGACTGGATAATGCTTATTATATGTTTTGTTGTAAACTATTCCGGGCACTTTGATAGCTGTGAAAAGGACAAAAGCAGTAAATAAACGAATGAATAAATAAAATAAAGAACTTAGAAATCCCTTACCTTCCTGCTGCTCCCTGGCATGTGGGAAAAGGGGTTGGCAGAGGAAGAAAGGGAGAGAAAGAATGGGGATAAATTAGTGCACCCACCCTTGAGTCAAGTCTGTAACAGCACATATTAAGCTGCAATGGAACTGGTTTGAAACCAGATTTATGGCCATTGTTACCTAAAATAAATTTCCTATCTGCTCAGCAAGGAACTTTTAACACATGAGGATACTCAAAAGATACAATTTCCTCTGCTAAGCCCTCTCTACCAACTCTACACCCTGCTGCTTTTTCTAGACAAGGCATATAACCCACTGTTTCTACTTCCAGTTAGGATTGCAAAATGGAGCAATTTTCCTTCCCTGCTTTTCATACTTTGAATCACATAACCTCTAGGTGGCACTGCAGAGCAATGCAACAACACTGACGGGGCCTTGCAGTTTGTTTAGCTTTGTCAAAAAAAAATGGATTATCCTTGTTCCAACCCTAACCTCTTCCAGAAATTATTAACACACAGAGAGAGAACGAGAGAGAGAGGTGGATAGTGAGAATATCTAAACCAATGTCATCTAAACACCTATAAACACCTGTGAGTGAGGAATGGCTAATACACAATAACAATCTCTTCTAGAAAAGCTTTCAGTCAGCTTCAGGCATCAACTAGATCTTAGTCGCTCCATCTCCTTGGGAAACTTCTTATAACTTGAGTACCTTGAGGACAATATGGCGGCTGGAGTAACACTGTTAGTTGCAAGTAGCACGTGCATCCTCCCCACAAGCAGATGTTAGTTGGGCTGGCCCACCACACATTTTTTCAAAATACTAGTATCCACAGGCTTTGCATAACAATTAATTTTCTTCCCGTGTTTGGCCAAGATTTGGTGTTATTCATTACCTCCATATGTTTTCTGATAAAACATGACATCAGCTAAAGTATTCTGCTCTGTTCAAAAAGGTTCATGTTTATTTCCCCTTACAAACCTGGTTGTGTGAAGCATGAAGAATAACTTATAATACTGTGCTAACATTTGGTTAGGCCATTGGGTCTCACGATGGTCTAACTCTGCTTGGGTTTGTTTGCACAAATGCAGCTAGTTTCTTATGGGGCCATTGCCCTGTCCTTCTCAGGAAAGAGATCAGCATATATAAGAGAAGTTCTCTCTGTTGTCTGCCTCCCTTGGAAACCAGCAGGAGAAATGATGAGTATCTGTGAGAGCTTAAAGATAGGGCTGTCCCAAGCTGACAAGAACCATTTTAAGCCCTTTCTCAATCTTCAAAATCAGCCATTTTGTTTTGAGTGTATTTTGTGGGTGAGATGGAGGGAAAAACCCTCCACCATTTTGGTTTTCCTAGAAAGTGAAGGTGCCTGTCGGCATAAAAAATAGCTGTGTTTTTGCTACTCACTGGCAGTTTCCATTATAGTGGACTATAGTTGAATATTGTCAAAGAAAAAAAAAGAAGACAAATTCTGTCGCAGAGTGGACAGATCTTTCCTCAGCAGAGGTGCGGTACAGTTAAATATCCTTAAATATCCCTGAAGCAGGCTTGTGGCAGACCTACAGTCCTACAGGAGGGTTCCACACAATCTTATTTTTAGTAGAGAAATGAAATAAATAAAATAATGAACATCATAGTAAGTTACGATCACTCCTTCATAACCACGGTCCACATGTCGCTTTACTTACTCCTCGTACCCAACCTCCTCATCAGACATGGTGCCGGTTCCTTGATTTCACCTGGAAGAGAGAAACAGACCTTCCATGCTTTTGCCACCATGACTTTCCCTTTCCAAAAGGGTTCAGCAATGGCAGCTGCCTACGAAAGCTTGCCTGTAAGTTACTAAGTAAGGCCAAGTATGGCCACCTCCTGGGTTCACTTTGGTTGCTTTGCTTTTTTGTTTGTTTTTTAACACATCGACTTATCTTCTGGCACACTGAATCAGAGTAATAATTCAATAGGAGAATATGGCATGTCTAAGTCGCTGGCCAACATCTCATTCCAGACCCCACAGCCAATTCTCCTGGGAGCCCACCCTAATTCCATGTGGAATCCCGTTGCCTTTTATGGTATGAACTGTAGGCAGGGGCAGCAAGAGACAAAGAAGGATTGTGAGCAGAGCAGGAGGGAAGGTATGTAGGAGCAAGGTGGGGAGGGAGGAGGATAATACTTCCTGGCTTTCCATCACAATCTATTTTTAACTTTTGCCATGGCAGAGCCCAGGGTGAAAGGGAGAGAATGCAAGCCCATGTAGTGAGTCACCCATCTGGGCACCCTGGAATGGGACAAGGGCTTTAATCCTAAAGCTTATGTTGGTTTATGCATAATTGCATTTTGATTCCTTTGCAAAGCCTCCCCATATTTTCAAGAGGACAAGAGCAGCATAGTTGGTTCTCTGCCCTTCTCACCTTAGCTGTCTAGCAGAGAAGTAATCTATTTTCACAGAGCTTAAATATTCAACCAGCCACAGTGATCCAAAGTTATCTGACTGCATGCACAACTGGCTACAACTTCCATGGCTTCCTTGCAAAGAGAAGCACCACATACATGAGTTGCGAAGGCGCAGTGACCGATGAGGATGAATCCTCAAGCTGACATGCCGGCAGCCACATGTCTCATCTGCAATGCTAGACCAGGGAGTGAAATGGGAGGTGTCTCTTCAGAAGAGGGACTTGTTTTATGGGAATTTGGGCTGGCATCTTCTTGGGAGGTGCAAAGGTTGCCAATTGTCCTGAGCTAATTCTGTCGCACAGTGACAGAGATGTGGTGGGCCGATGAGCGGTGGGCAGCTTGCAGCCCTCCAGTGGTTGTTGGACCGCAACTCCCAACAGCCCGAAGAAGCATCACATGCTCTTTGGAGAGGTGCATGACTGGCCAGCGATAAGCAGAGCAGTCTCCATATATGAACCGGGTTCAGAGCTGACCCAAAAGATTTTAGTGCGGAAGGAGAAAGTCCAAGTGGTGACTTTGGATTACACACACACAAATAAGATTTGACAGCCAGTTTCCCTTTACTCTTCTTAAAACACATGAAACATCCTGCATTTAAATTCAAACTGTGCTGCTGTGATTCACGTGCACCCCAGTCCATGCTTCCTTGCCACAAATGTCAGCCTACAGATCGTATTAGCTCCCCCTTGATGCCCTCGTGAGTCCCAGACGGGTGAATCTGCCCTGCACTGAGTCGGGCCATGGGTCCGTCCAGTTTGGGGCAGTCCACTCGGATTGGCACTTGCTCCCCAGGATGTCGAAACATGCACTCCGTTGCGTATGGCTGGGTGTGCGGGGGGCAGGCGTGGCTCAGCTGCTCTACCGTCCGTGATTGCGCCCTTTGCAGAAGGAGATGGGCTGAGGGGCGTGGAGGGTGCGATTTGGGAGAAACTGAGGAGACCGTAGGGATGCCTTGCGGATTTCATTTGGCCCCATTCCCCAACCTTTCCCTCTTATCAGCGGTATCAACGAGCAGCACCCCTTCCCGATTTCAATTTGTTGAAGTCCAAGAGTCGCCTGCAAGGCTGTGACTCCTACCCAGCGGCTTTCAGAGGCAGCCCTTTTCTGCCCTTCCCATGTCCTCTGAGCATTGTTTAACATGGCCAGGGCAATGGCAGGGTGAGAATTTTGTCTTCTTGTTCTGAGCAGCTGTCATAAAAGGTCACAGATATTTTGGAAACCTCCTCCTATTGTTTCCCCATGAACTCTTTGAATCTGCACCCTCCGTAACTTAACTTTAAATAACTTTGAGCAGGGTGGTGTGGCATCCTTATATCCTGCCAAACCTTTGCCTCCTGCCCCCCTCCCCAACACACCTTCTTGTGTACCCCAAATGGCCTTCACCACCGTGCTAAGCAAATCTATCTGTGTAATGGAACCTTTAATATAAACATTTTTTAAAGCTCTCATCAATCCTGACACCTTGATCTGGAATTATGTCTACCTATTCTGCCCTGTTCATCCACAATGCAAATCTGAATGCTTGTCAGACAGGAAAATTTGAATTGTTTTTCCATTAGTTTATGAATCTTCCTCTGTGCAATCTAATATCCTGCCAACTTCCTTGTAGGCAAAATACACCAGTCATCAGATCAGAGGCATTTTGCTTCTGTGCTGTACTGCAGCTGGTGCTTTGGCTGTATTGGACTGCAGCTCCCACCCACAGTGATCATGCTGGCTGGGGATGATGGAAGGCATGGTTGAGTGCTTCTGGAGGCACAATGATCTAACATGACAGGATCTACCATGCAGGAACCAGCAAGTAGCTGCCGCTGGAATCGCCAAGTTCATCACTGGCTGTGATGAAGCCAGTCCCCGACATCAGAGCTCATCTGTCTGCAGTACAACCCTCCATGTCTTTATGGGGCAGGAATCCCCATGAAATTGTGGGGCTCATGGCCTGCAAAGTGTTCAGAGGACTTCACCTGCCAGAAGTAGGAGCCTCAGAGTGCCGCATGGTCTCTCTGATAGCTCCTGACCTTAACCCTGTCCCAAGCATGTCACTCCTTACCACAATCCTGCCAGGTAGGCCTCGGGAGAGCCTGCTAGCTTGCGGCTGCATAATACGAGTAACACCACCAATTGGCATGTGCATCGTACCTTTGGCATGCTCAAAGTGCTGCACATGTATTGTCCCACTGCTCCTTCCATCACAGCCTTGTTAAAGATCCCCCACAATGCGCTGTGGGGGCAGAAGTTGCGGAGAGGCCGTGGCAGGCCACATTTATCCGCCTTCCATGGCTTTACGGCCGTGGGACTCCATGGCTCACATCCTAGGCTGCAATCCTACCCATCCTTAACTGGGAGTAAGCATGCAGTCCTGTGGGCAGACGCGCATAGGATGGCACTGTGAGCCAACTGGTGTGGCATCCCTTCTGCCACGTTGTCAAGAGCAACCCCCTCCAAATGAAAAGAGAGGCGCGCTTCTGTCAGAACAAGATCACCAGCTCTGAGAATGCCAAATCCAGTCACAGCACCCTGTTTGGCTCTTCTCCAACTGTCATATGATGCATTTATTTAGTTTGCAAATAAAGAGCCACCTGCCAGTTTCCCACACCTTAAGGCCAAAATGTGTTTGATGTCCTGTAGGTTAAAGATGCTAGCCAGAAACAAGCAGATGCCGGAACACAGACTGCTGTCCAAAACATACTTCTGCATCAGAAGTCTGTCTGAAAGGGTTGCGTGTGTGCTCACTGAACAACAACTTTCGTGTTTGTGTGCAGTAGGCACAACAGAGAGCTGCTATCACATCTGGAGATCTAGCCCTCTGTGCATGCTCAGTGCTGCCTTCCACATTTGGGATCAGTTTGATTCTTCCAACATGGAGAGCATTAGAACACATTCAAGTACTAAGCTTGGGAAATGATTGCTAACAAAGTCAGTAGGGGAAGAGTTGGGAGGATAGAAAATTAGGGTGCCTGGACAGCATTCAGGGAGAAAAAACTTCAGGTGTGAATTGAATGGGGAGGAGAGGCTTGTGGCGCAATAGGAGAGGCAGGCTCAGAGGGCTGGGGCTGGACCTAAATGGAAAATCATTCGCTTTGCATGCGGGAAGTTGCCACTTTTTCAGACACGGGTGTCTGCACTGCACAGAACACTGTCATGGGATATGTGCGGGACTGTTTTAAAAGATGCTCCAGTAATGTCAGGAGGTGAAAAATATGACTGCAAGAGCCTCAGATGGGATTGGAGGCTCCAAACCTATCATGCTGGTGCTTTCCTGCCTCCACTGACTCCCAATCTCTTTGGTGGCCCAGTTCAAAATTCTGCTTTTGACCTGTAAATTCCTGCATGGCTAAGGAGTTCCATGTTTAAAGGATCCCCTCCTTCCATGATCTTCCTGCCCAGGGGACTCAAGATGTTCTGGGTTGTAACACCCATACACCCGTCAGCATGGTCCATGACCAGGAATTATGGGTGTTCCTATCCCAAACAGCTGGACTATCCCAACCTCCCCAGATCTTCAGATCATCAACAGATCTTCTTTAAGATGGTGTGTATGTGTGTGCATTCACATGCGTGTGATCAGAAGGGGGCTCTTCGGTGGTGCGCCTCCCTTCTCCAGCTGTAAACGCTCAGCTGGTGCACCACCAAGAAACTTTTCTCTTCTCTGAGGAGAATGGAGATTTTTATGTTCTCCATTTTAACACATAGCCACTTCAATACTGATATTAACATTTTAGTACATGCTTTAATGGCACTTGGACTTGCTCCTTTCAGTTATTTTAGGTCTATAGTATCAGGTTATTTTCACCCTTTTGTTTTCTACTTCTTTATTATTTGCTTGTGTACATATACATGTCTGTCCGTGTGTTTCATGCACACAATGATGATATGCTATGGATCCTACATGTTAATTGTCTCAAATTGGAGGGCAGAACCCGAGGACCTCCAGTGCAGCTGGACTCCAACTCCTATCATCCCCAGTCA